CTGCTGTGTCACAGGGCAGAAGTGATAAATACGCTACTGAGACACACCAAATGAAAAGAACAAACAAAAACAGGCCGTGTCCCCTGGGCTCTGTGGTCACGCAACCAATTTCCACGGTGTGGGCAGCCGGGAAGTAACAATCGCCCTCACAATCCGAAATGCAGGCGAAACCTCTAATCACCTGGAAAATGGTTAGGAAGTGAATCAGAGAAAAATAATTTTTTTGTTTTCAAGTGTCGGTTTGTAGGGATTTTGTTCGATTGGTTGGAAGATTTCATCATGAGCTGACATCAGTTAGAGAACCATTGGAAAACTAACTGGGAGTACTGGACAGCTGTTTCGTCCTAGTTTGGGAATCTTCAGAAGTACGCACCCACTGGGGTTCGAACCCAGGATCTTCCGGTTACAAGGCGAGCTCGTATACCATTAAGCCACTAGGACCCAATGGCCCATGAATTCTAATGGTTCTCTAACCAATGTCAGCTCATGATGAAATCCTGTAACCAATCAACCAAATCCCTACAAACCAATACTTGAATGTATTTCTGTTGCTAATATCTTTCGGATTCCAGTTAATTCTAATAGCTCTGAATGAGGAGATGAAGTAATATCAGTGGTATTGAAAGATAGCATGTCGCTTACGTAACAAACTGCATTAAGTCGGGATTACTACTAAGTGGGTAATGATCAGAAGAGCTTTCTGAACTTTCGGAAGTGTGTGAAGGGTTACCTCTTCTTGGTTGCTCACACTGTAGAAGTTGATTTTTTCTTAGGGTACATGAAACAGAAAGAGCAGTAGTAATGTGCTGCCACAAGCCAGTCACCCATGGCCTGTTTTAATTGGTTTTTGGGACAACATCTGTATTAAGATCGTATCTCCAGTATCAGACTGTGACAAGGTTTGTCAAGATGTCCAATTTTCGTAGTCGACTTTTTCCAACCGCGCCTCTTCTTCAGCAGCGTAGCTAGCATGCTGGTTGTTTGAGGCAATCAACTTACTGCTATTACATCTCTATCCCCTAGAAGTACAACTTCGCTCACAAATCCTTAACAACGAATTTCACCATGACGGTAACGGCTTTTAGTCTAACACCTATCCGACCAACATTTCTTGCATACTATTGTAACAACAGAAGACAAGGGCCAGGCAACAGATCGTTTATTTAAGAAATCAACACATATTTCTAGTTTTTCATGTACATTATTATTGATTATTGTTAGCAGAAAAACACAGTCTTCTGATTGGTGGTTGTTTCTCAGTGAAAGTTAATCTTTCATCTCTTTGTGATTGTTTCTTGAATGTCAGATCATCTATATGCTAACTGTATCCGCCTACGCAAAGTCTCCTGTGGTTGATTGTTGAATCAGCCTTTGTTCATATTTTTCTCATGACCAATATTGAGGAGGTAATCATTGATGTAAATTACCATCTACCAATGTGGCTAGCAGCCAGTTCTCACCACAGTATGACCTACAAGAATATTACTTTCAGCTAGTGTAGCTCGTTTGATCATTGTGATATGCAAGCCCGACCATCACTTCAAGATAAAAACTATCGATCGGTTAGCGAAAAAGAAGCCTGGTTGTCTAAACCATTACTGCATCATGGAATAAATAAATTCTACACGAATTGATCACCGGATGACAAGCATTTCAGTTATCTGGTTCAAAGTATACTAGCCAAAACTTGTTGATTAAGTGATCCATCAAGAGCCGATTGCTCAACAAATATGTAGGAAAAAATGGAGGAGTCCATCGAATCACATTGTGTGCAATACAGGCCAGTGCTTGAGTGCCTTGAAGTTTCTGTAGCACTTTGATTGATTTTCTGGAGAAGGGGAGTCAGGCGTACGCCCAACTGTCCCACTCTCCCTGAACTTGCGACCAGTTTGTCATAACTGAACTGAACTGAATAAATCCGTTGCTACTTTGTTATTTCTGCGCCTGTTAATTGCTATAACGGTAATGAACTCGACTGGTACGCTAATACGTCTGTTTGTCCGTAGTATCTTCCGTTTCACTGAGCCACGCAAATATCAAAAGACGAAGGCTAGCCTGTGATTGTAAGATATTGTATTACTACTATACTATACTACATAGCTTAAGAAACAATACGTGGTATTTAAACATTTTCTTTACCATAATAAAGTCGGCTCATAGCCGTGAGAATGTGTTGTTCTTATTGGCTGGCAATGGCTATTCTCATTGGTTGGTAATCTGACAAAGACCAAGGTGAGGCAAAAGATGATGAATTGATCACATGCTAAATCACAATATGCGTGAGAAATGATATACCGACATAGTAACTCCATCACAAGGTAAATCACGTGACTAGTGAGAAAGGATGATATATTATTTTATGCTGGGTCCTATCACAGCTAGAAAATTAGCGAGCTAGCAACCTAAACGAAGTTAATTATTATTACTATTATTACAAAATTCACAAGTTTGTGTAATTGGTGAAGTTAAACTACCATGTCCCGGGGGTGTGAGCACTCCAATGACGTTGAACACATGATAATTGTTGGATAATGAAACTTTTCAAGTGTTAGTTTGTAGGGATTTGGTTGATTGGTTACAGGATTTCATCATCAACTGACATTAGTTAGAGAATCATTGGAAAACCTGCAGGGAGTACTGGACAGCTGTTTCGTCAGCCTAGTTTGGGACTCTTCATCAGTACGCACCCACCGGGATTCGAACCCAGGACGTACTGGTTACAAGGCGAGCTAGTTCGCAGACCATTAAGCCACTGGGACCCGATCCAATGGTCAATGAATTCTAACTTCTGCCAATTCACAACATAGCGCGACCCCTAGCCAATGTCTTCGGCGAGTATTTGTCCTCACACCCGACCTGCTGCACCCTACTGGTCACGACTTTTCATTAATATGGTGCTAATATGATCGCTATTCCCTCCTTTAAGGAGCAAATTTCACCTAGATCACATTTTTAAGTACTGTTTGGACAATATGTTAATAGCTCGTTAGGGTTACGATTGTGATTAAAGTTAGGATCAGGGTTATAATTAGGATTACGGTTAGGATAAGGGTTAAAGTATGTGTAGAACTTGAGCCCTGTGGTAGAATGTAATTCCATATTTGATAAGTTTATTTTAAAAATATCACACAGTGAGTGATGTAGTATTAACTACTGGATGACAGATAAGGTTTCGAGAATAAATTATTAACACTCATAACCGCATATCAATTTTAGTCACATGGTTTCACAGTTCGTCTTATAAATATTTTCTGTCTTTCTGTCTCTCTCCAACTTCCCTTTGTTGTTTGTTGCCCCTTTCCATATCTCCGGTATAGGTGTTGCGTCATTCCAATTGCACGTGTGTAATGTTGAATCGATTAACAAAGCTTCAGTGAATAACCTTTCCGTCTCTCCACCTAACCATATTACTTTTTACTATTCTCACCCTGTCCCACCCAACCTATTTCGTGATTACATGCAAGTGAATGCAGTGCAATGGTTGAGCTCTGTTTTTTCTAGATTACTTAACTTAGCAGATTCAGCCACTCTAGGTGTAGTTAAATTTTTTTGTTCCAGTAATCCAGCTGACCCTGATCTCTTAGTTTGACCTATGTAATTGACCTCACTGAGAGTCATTACATGGTAATTGGTAAATTATATTATTTTTCCTAATTGGATCTACTAGGTGCTTAGGCCGACAAAGTTTATCCCTTAGAGAGTTGGTTGATTGATTTAAATGCCAGCCTAATTTCAGCCTCGTTGGGAATTCTACGTAATACCTTTGACGTCCCTTCTTTATACGGTAGTACTACAAACGCTTTGAATTCTATATTGTTATCATTATTATTATAATTAGGGTTGAGATTAAGGTTAGGGTTCTGATTAGGGATAGGTTAAGAGTTAGTATTATTTATTTTAATTCATTTTATAATCCAAATTTTTCCAGTAATTAATCGTCGTTCCTCTTGCTGGAAACCACAGTAATTCAATCAAGAGCTTTTGGGAAGACCGCAAAACAGGATAAGAGCGATAAATGGGTCACAAAAAAAGCTCATGTTAAGTCATCTTGGTGAATACATGTACAGAAACTGGTCTAACTTTAAAAACTGGCACTCCTCGTTAAAACTGGAACGTAGTTTTAAGTCATGCCAGAGAAAGATACCCTGTTTAATGTGTTTTCGTGCATTTTCTTGTAAATAAACGTCTTTTTCGTGTATAAAAATGACCTATTTCATGATTGGTCATCTCAAGGTCATTCGATCGTTTGCATCGCGTGGGGCGCGACAATTTGACTTTTTCTATGCAATTGAATAAAAACGTGCAACAAATCAAAGACGAAACGTTAGTATTGGTGATAGTAATATAATAATTATAATAATGATCACAAGGAATAGTAGACAGTGAAGTAAATAAATAAACCAAAATGAAAATTGAAAAAAAACTTCGAACTTTATTCTTTCAGAAATAAAGAGGAAATAAAAATAAAATAAATTACAGTAAAATATATAAATATATATTTGTGTAAAATAAAAAAATGTATTTTTCAAAAATAATAGAATTACTCAGCAGAATTGAATTTTGAAATAACAACAATGAAGTTTTAAAACAATGGATGACCTTGATGCCTATATGTACGTTTGAAATAATTGATGTAGATAAACAAAATATTCATTGAACACTTGAACATGAATAGTGAATGATTCACATTTACATCATCGAAAAAGAGCTGAATCAAAGAACAAAAAAAAATGAAAGACGGACTATTCACAACAAATATAATTAGTTGTAAATTAAATATCTCATGCATTGGATGTATGAGCAGTTGACCGTAGTCTATAATGACTTATTACATATTTTCATAGATAGGTATGACTGGATTCAATCAAAATGGTTGGTTAAAAAAGTGACAATGATGGGGAAGAAACATACTCATACCTAAATGCAAACCCGCAAGTAACAAGTTCATTCATGAAAAGACAAGTTGGATAGATTTAAATAGTAGTTTTTTTCTCTAAAAATTAATTGCAACCACATCCTAAAACAATTATATTGTGCAATCTGTGCAGTTGTAATTCACGATTTGAGTCCAAGTAGAGAACAACCATACTAGCCAAATCTGTTGGATGACAACATGATTGTATTTCATCCGGTTGTATATTACCGAATTGTGATAAATTTTTGCGTAATATCATATCCATGACATCATAATGTAGACCTTTTGCTGACGTAACTGAAATTAATAAAAAAAAGACGACAAAGATACAGATTTCGATAAAGAAAGGAAGACGAAATTTGCAGTATAAATTGATATCATTCTATTTCACAGGTTCTCATCAGCTGCAGACTGCCTGAAATTACAATGTTGATATATATGATAATAACATAGTTTAATGTTTTGGTGGTAGTAGAGAAGAGATGCTATAAAATTGACGCATCCAAAATGAAAGCAGCATTAGAATTTTTAGTTTAAGATTTCATTATCAATTTATACGCTTTTAAAATTGAAAAGAGGGAGGAGAGTAAGACAGAAAACAGAAAAAATTAATTAACAGAACAGTGTTAGCTTGTAGGTTCACATAGCAACTCAAAAAAACAAAAGCGGTTACAGTTTACTAGATTAAGATTTGTTCAGTAGGTTGAGATCACTGAATTATATGACTAATTATTGTAATCAAAATCAAAATTCAGTTACCGAGTGAGAGGTTAATCACACTCTCTTTCTGCATGTATAAGTCTGGTTTAAATCGTTTGGTTGCGATCGCTTCGGCAAATCATAGTAAATGTGCTGTCCTTTGTCTATTTAATATGTTGAAGGACTTAGAAATCTCTACGAGATGTCCGGTATCAACAATTTTTCTGGTAATTGCAAGATTGTAAACATTGTAATTTCAGGTAGCCTGCAGCTGATGAAAACCTGTGAAATAGAATGACATCATTTTATACTGCAAATTTCGTCTGTCTTTCTTTATCGAAATTTATCAACGGAACCAAATGTATGAAATTATTCCAGCTGATGGTTAGTGTTACGTCCAAAACCGACTTGCTGTGGTCTAAACGCAGGAAACTGATCCCTGTGTTCCATTGTATTGCTGAATGAAACACCCCGGGGAAACGCACAGTCACACAATGCTCCAAAGGCAGAAAAAATGATGGTTATTCATTGCTGGAATCTGTGTTTCTCAAAATTACCGTTCTCTAGTTATGCGGTCCAGTTAATTTCCCAAGTACTTAGTATCTAATGGAATATTCTCAACAAGGTGGGATCAAAACTCCGTTAACAAGAATCACATACCAACGCTTCCCACAGACAGTCCAAGGTCAGCATCACCTTCATTCATTCAAAAAAAATCATGTTGCAGGAAAACACATTAACAATATCATGATATGACGAAATAGATAATCATTAAAATTAGAGATTAAACAGGGACAAAGAGGAACTATAAGGATCAAGTCAAAATATGATATACAAATTTCAGAACATTGATATACAGTCTTGGAGAATGACGGATAAAGACTTGAAAGTTAGTTGGAGGGGTTTTCCAAACGATTATTCCGTTACAGTAATTATAAGTGGACTCCATGATTGAGAATTTTGTACTATTCAGGACTCCTCATTTGGATGTACCTGCATCCTCAAAGAGTGATGGCTTTTCCACTGAGAATGGTACCCTGCACTCTTTGCAATCGGCAATAAAATGACAGCCGATATATGGATTATACCTTTATTCTTTGTGATAATGGTTCTGATAGGAGTACAATAATTACTGAATTCAATGAAGTACATTTGGCTATGAAATTCACATGCGAAGAGGAATCCCAAGACAGAATTGCCTTCCTGGATGTCCTACTTACAAGAAAACCAGATGGTAGCATGAAAAGAAATTTGCATAGAAAAAGCACTTGGACAGGACAATATACACATTTTCACAGCTTCGTTCCTATCAATTACAAAAGAAATTTAGTGAAGACCCTCAGCCACAGAGTTAGAGCTATATGCTCAGAAGAAGTAATTGAAGATGAATTAAGCATTGTATATGATACTTTGACCGAAAATGGTTATCCTGATAAATTTATCAACAAACATATGACAAAGAAAGCGGAAAAGGACTAATCACTGTCTGTAAAGAAGAAGCCTTTATATATACGACTACAATTCATGAGTTAATTACGAAGAAATTAAGAAAATCAGTTCAAATAACTTTTAATGCTGGCGAACTACACGTATTATTCTCTACATGACCGATGGTGCTACCTCGACTGAAAGATGAAGTACCTAGACTAGCTAGTCACTTCAAATTGTATCTACCAATTCAACTGCAACTGTGCTTGTGGAACGAGTTATGTTGGCCATTGCTCTAGGAACTTGATTTTTCGTGCTCTCTCGAGAACATCTCCCACTATGACTAAGTAAAGGTGTAGTTAAAACTATTAACAGCTCGATATTGGACCATTTGGTGCAAACCGGTCACAAAGCCAGCGTAGAAGAATCCTTCTCTATTATCTACCGGGTGCCTAACAAACTACCAAAATCGTCGAAGCGCCGTATGCTTCAAACAGCAGAGGCTATTGCAATTCGCCTCAAACAACCAGTGCTCTGTGTTCAAAAGAAACAAGTCCAGCTAGCCCCTACTACTGCCCTGAGCAGCCTTCAGTAGACACTATAAATTCATGAATTTGTACTATTATCTTTCATAATTCTTCTGACATTCAGCTTATTTTATGTTGATGCTATTCAGCTGTAATCTATCAATATTATTGATATAATTGTAGAGCCTGATGATGAATTTATCGAAAAGCGTACTCTTTGTTCAGTATCCATTCTTTTGAAAATTTTATTGGGCATTTTAATGGGTAAAAATGTCTTTTGCAGCTGGTCATCATTTAATTTTCATTTCTCGTTGACCGATTATGTTTCTGTCCACACAAACCGAACATTTCGGCTCAGCATAATGAATCAGCAGGAAATATAAGATTAACTTAAACGAAAATAATGATCTAAAAATCGGTAAATGTCCTAATTGAATAATTTATTACAGTCCTAAGACTTTGACCATTACTGTTGATGATTTTGCAAAGTTAAGTTGATTGGCCAGTTGATACATGTATAAAACTTGAGCACTGTGGTAGTACGTAATTTCATATTATTTTGCTTATTAGACAGGTCACACAGTGAAACAGCATTACTTCCTGGATGACACTCAGAAGACAATTGTTCATTGTTCATAATCATATCATCAATTATTCCCGCCCATTTGTAGTAGGGATAGTAGAATTTTCCACGTGTCCCAGTGGACAGGTGTTGAATCACTTTGATAACATGTATTTGTAGTTGATTTGATAAATAAAGCCTACATTATAACTCCCTACTACCATACTGTTATATTAGATCCTTGAACACTCATCTTATGCCATCTAATTGTGTGGTAGTATGTAGTCGGGTGTGGTGTTATAGCTGACCTATTCTCCAGATTTCTTATCTAATTCGGGTCAACTAATCTAGATTTTGCCGCTAGTTTTTTATACTCCGCTATTCTGACTGACCCTGTTCTACTACTTTGCCGTATGTATTTGACTTGACAATCATTCCAACAGAGTATTAGATGAGGTTCCTTCTTTTATATGGAAGTACTACTGATGATTTTATTATCACGGATGATATTCTTAATTGTAGTGGACTGGATTATGTGTCAGACGGTTGGGGGCGAGAAGTCAGGAATACTCTAGACGACCAATAAGAAAACTCTAGAAGATCTGGATTTCACAGACGATATATATATCTAATGTCACACAAACTCGGAGACTTACAAGCGAAAACCAACAAACTGGCTGAAAAGGCAGGTAGAGAAGACAGGACTGCAGGTGAACACAAAGAAGACGGAGGTGATGAAGGTAATCGACCACCGACAGGAACAACAACCAGCACCAATCACCATCAATGGAAGCTTCGTTTCAACCACAGGCAGTCGCACTGGACGAAGATGTCCAAGTCAGAATCGGAAAGGCAAGATGCGCCTTCATCAACGTGAAACCGGTTTGGAAGTCTTCCGCACTCAACATAAGGAAAAAGATTGAGATTTTTAACATCAGTGGGAAGTCGGTTCTTCTATACGGGTCAGAAACTTGTCCAGCGTGTCACGAAAAGGATTTCCAACAGGTTACTGCAGATTTCCATCAACAGCTGCCTTCGCTCTATACTGAAGATCAAATGGGCGAAAGAAAGAAGCAGCATCAAGAAACTATGGCTGGGAACAAACCAACCAAGAGCCCATCGCTCAACAAATATGTGAGAGAAAATGGAGATGGATAGGGCATACGTTGAGGTGACCATCGAATAACATCGCGCTCAATGCAGGCCATCGCTCGAGTGGAATCCAAATGGGAAGTAACGAGTGGGACGTCAGTACAAGGGTGACATGGAGGAGATGAAAGAGTTTGGTCAATCGCTGACCCAGCTGAAGAGGATGGCAGACAACAGAACAAAGTGGACATGTGTTGTTGAAGTGGCATGTTCCACTTGGAATGCAAGGGAATAATAATAGTAATATTGATACATTAAATTTCCTACTGTTGTTGTCATTAATCTGTGCATGTTTGCCATGCATATCGTCATTATCATTGTTGTGATCACTATTACTATAATTATTATCGTTGTTGACCTTAGTTTTACGCTTTCCGACATACTTCTTGATTAATTTATTGGGGTGGTTATTAAGTTTTAAAGCTTATGTGTAATAAAAGTGATAAAACACGTGTCCACCTGGACATCTGGGAAATTCTGCCACCTCTTCGACAAATAGGAAGGAATAAATAAAACTATAAAACGAAAGTTTCGAAGTTGTATAGTTAGAACTGATGCAACCAAAACCTCAACAATTAACAGTACACTGTGATGGCGATCCACCTAGGATGCTGACCACATTTCAAACTTGACTGATAGAATTAATTTAACAGCAAATAAAAGGCTAGATAATAGCTCCGTCGTAAACTCGCTGACTTCAGCGTTGGGTGGCGCAGGTTCGAATCTCAGAAGGGACATAAGTTACTTCAAGGTCACAGATACACCTTGCTGACTGGTGAGTGCCAATCGGCACTAAACCTAGATCCAAGTCTTCCTGATGACTGTCTCCAATCACCTTATATCAGTAAATAATATTATTCCACTGTTGGATATATTCAATAAACAAATTAATATGTTTGGTCAGTGTTAGTATATGACCACTTTTATTGTGT